AACCACAAAAGGTTCTTAATAATTCATCCAAATAATATAATCAACTCCCTTTTTCAAGGTAATAAAGACTCTTATTTATACTAAGAATTACCATTAACTAACTAAGAAAGGAATAAACTATTAACTGAAATAAATCTTATTCTAATATAGAAAATACCTAAAAAAAGAAATTTAATTTAATTAGGACTACTATAATAAAATAAGAAAACTTAAATATAAGGAAATAATCAAAATTCTTTCCTAAAGAATTTTAATAATATATTCTCTGCATCAGTATGTGTATGAATTAACTGTATAGGATGATTTTGTGCAAGGCTTTGATACCAATCGATGCAACGGAAATTGAATAGGCACTAGATACGTTCTACCGTAGCGGCTCGAATCCACGAACAACGAATCTCAAATCCATGACGAAACAATTCATGAAGAAACCCTTTGAGAAATTTTATGATAAATCTATTCATTATTGTTTGTAGGATAACAAGTTTATTTATACTAAACTAATCTTAATGTTACTAGAACAAGAAATAAGAAAATCCTAACACTATTAGAAGAAAGAATTATAAAATAAGAATGTGAAGTTTAACAAAATTAACCTTCCTAATTTAACTAGAATTCTGACATAACTATACTTCCAAATATAAAGTCTTAATCAAAATAAAAACTAATAACAAAAAGGAAAATAAAAAACTAATCCTAATTTATGAAAATCTGTCCTACATCATAATGGACGAACAAGTTCAGCAATTAAAGTGCAGTACAAACTCTCTTTCTAAATGGCAATAACAAATTTTGGAAAGAATCAGATAATTACTTCAATGCATTGTTATAAGAAGTCCTAATACAACTCATGAAATTGGAGCAGCTTCCAATGCGCCAAATCGAGCTAGAGAAAATCATGGCAGCAATAGAAACCACCATTTTCAGAATTCTTATACCCCCAAAACTAGTTAAAATTGAATTTTTCACTTTTTAACGGAGAGCATCCTACGAGTTGGATATGCGAAGCAGAGCAATTCTTTCAATTCCATGGCAGTCTAGAGTAGGAAAATGTGGTGTTGGCTTCATTTCACTTGGAAGGTGGAGCTCAAGTATGTTACCAAGTGCTACGACAAGTGGCAAGAGAAGTAACATAGGAAGAATTCAAAGAGAGTCATTATGGTCCAAGGTGGTTTATTGATCCATTCAGTGAACTCACGAAGTTGTAGCAAACTAGAAATGCACAAGATTGTCAAACCCAATTCAAAAAAGTTCTCACGAAAGGCGGATCTTTTTCACCAAATAGACAAGTTAATTATTTTATTAGCAAGTTAATTGAAAAGATCAAGGAAGAAGATCTTGATAGACAACCAACAATGTTTCTATAACTAGTTGACTGGCAGGATTATACGAAGCTAGAAATGCATCATTATGTGAAGCGGCGGCTTCACCCTTAAAACCAAAACAGGGGGTTGTAGCCAACAAGGGAAACCAGGTGCAATGACTGATAAGTTCCATAATTTTAGTATTTTTAGGTTTATTTTGATATCAGTTTAGTTAATTTCTCATTTGTTTTATTTGTTTTGGTGTTCGTTTTTATTAAGCTTGAGATGTGAATGGTCAGCTATTGATTTGAATAGTTTTTGTGTGTTTTCAGACTTTGATTGAGTAGATTTGAGCATTCGAATGAAATTGAAACTTAAACTTAAAGAAATTGAGATTACTTGACATTTTTTAAGGTCACGACCATGTCTTGGTAGTTTACCATGGTCATGGTGGTGGAATTGAGATAAAACAAAAACACCAGAAAACACCATGACCTAGGCTGTGGTGACTTAAATTTGGCCACGATCAGGGTCGTGGTGGAAACCATTAGGCCGTTTTTCACTTAGGACTCTTTTTGGTATTTAAATATAATTGAGATTAGTTGTCAAGTAACGAATTTTGCATATTTTGGAGAGGAGAAGACGCATTCTTGGGGCTTGAAGACTGAATATCAGATTTAAGAGTTTGACTACTGTTTATTTTCAAGTCTGAATATGTTTTCTTTCTTCATTGTTTATTTATTTGTTCTTATGATAGAGTAAATCTCTTTTGTTAGGGGAGGATAAAACCTTAATTATTTTTTGAACAATTTTTATTCTTAATACCAAATTTATGTTTATGAATTTGTACAAGAGTTTAGGTTTAATGCTTTATGAGTGTTAGATTGATTCAATTACCTTGATGATGTTTCGGTTTATCGCTTAATTCATATTCATAATTGTTTTACTGGAATAGCATTGTTACAGCATATTAAAACTAGAAATAATCAAATAGAGATTCTAGGATTAATTTGTGATTCACCTAATTCATAACCGAATAGGGTGAATTAGTCGTAAGGGACTGGTAATTTTATGCTTGTTAATTTTAGAGTAAACGAATAGGAATCTGTATTAAGTTGAATATTATGTCTAAATAAAAATAATTGGCCTTAGAAGAATCCTACTAATTCATAGCACAAACGAGTCTTGAGAGAGTTGTCAAGCATAATTAGCAAGAAATATGTACCCTAACTTCATTAATATTGCAAAGTTCTTCACATTATTTATTTGTTTAATTTAGTTATTTTTAGTCCGTTAGTTTTAAACTCTAAAATTTTGTTTTCTCAAATAACGTGTAAGCAGTTTTAGATAATTACGAATAATTGCTTTGATCTCTATGGGATGATACTCAAACTCATCACTTTATTACTTGAACACAACTAGTGCAGTTGCTATGGTTGATTTAGTCACACCAAAGGCCTCCACTGTTAGTAAAACCTTAGATTCGAGAAGAGCTCAAAAAAAATAAAAATAAAAATAAAAATAATAAAAAGACAAGTGAAATGGTTTCTCTTATGCTATTACGAGTATTAGCGTAACATCTTGGCCCACCGTCAAGATATTATGAATTTATCTCTTACCTACCCATCAAATAGTGGGGCTTAGAGCATATCGCTTTTGATTCAAACCCAAGATTTCATCTTTGGAAACAAATCAAGAACTATTGAGTGAAGTATTTGATAGGTGAGTGAGATATACTTTTGATTTGTTTCCAATAATGAAGTATTTGATAGGTGAGTGAGATATCAATTTACAATATCTTGATAATGGATCGAGATATTGCAATTAAAGCTCCTGAAACTATTAAGTGAGCATGGTAAAATGGTCATATTGCACCAATAGATTCAGGTAACACCCAGATTCTTGAGTGAGAAATCAGCAAAAAATGCAGCAAATTTGAGGTGATGGTTAGTAAGATTAGGACAAGTTGAATTAATGTTGCATGGAGTTCCAATTCATGCTGCCTTTGAAAGGATATGGGATTATTTTAGGCACGCAATGGCTATGAACTTTAGGACCTATCATATAGGATTTTTCTAAGCTAAAAATCAAACTCCAAATGAATTATATATTAAAAAAGATATTAGATTTCTTTTTCCTTTTTTCATAACACCTAATATTATATTATATTTCACATTTTGTTACAGATTAAAACCTAATATTATACCACTTACACTTTTCAACCATAAAAATAACTATATAAGAGTATATTAGAATCTGTTAAATTATGTAACAATTGTTTGTTCATATCTTTCTATGATATAATAATTAAACATATAAATGTAAATACTAATATATAACTCTATAATTTATACAAGACTTATATAATAAGTTTCTTAATTTCATAAGTTCCTCTGCTATTGACCTAAATTTAATCAGAAAAATGCGTCTATTGAAAAAAAAAAAAAAAAAAATTTAATAATAATAATAATATGTAACTGCTCAATCATATTTTTTATATTGTTAAAATATGTTAAGATTATGTTAATGTATAATAGTGGGTGTAAAAGTGCTTTGAAAATAATATTAACCATATAAGATATCGAAATTGTCATTATTTTAAGATATTATATCAAATGTGTTTTTTAAAAATTTTAAACTCAAAAACAAAATTTAAATATTATGTCAAACATATTTAAAAATACATAATATTAAGAATAAAATTCAAATTCTTAGTTATATCCTTATTTTTAAAAATATTTTTTTAATTATTAAGAGTAACCAAGGGGTGGTCCGCTTTTGAATTCCTCTTGTATTTATTAAGAATGTACTTCAGTATTTAGAAATGGGTAAATAATTAATTTTAAAATGGGTTAGAATTGTCCACTTTTCTTTCTTGTCCGTCACAAATAAGAGTGTATACAAGCCGAGTATCTTGACACTTGAGCTCGGTTTGTAATAAACAGTATCGAATTCGAGTTCAAGCCGAACTCATTCGAGCTTGAATACTTGGGCTCGAGCTTGAGCTTGCAAGTATGGGTGGGTACTTGAACTCGAGCTTCAAGTTTATTACGAGAAGGGGATTGTTTGTCATTTTAAAAACTTTAAAATAAAATAAAAAGTTACAAATCTTGCAATTTAACCCTCCAAGCTCGATGAAGCTCACGAACCTATCGAGCCGAGCTTATGCGGGTTTGTTTTGTCCCATTTAATGCGCTCTTTCATGCTGCTTTAATTCAGTCCCATCAGCCAATGAGTCGAACATGACACAAATGAAAATTGTTCCCTGGTGAAATAGCACAATTCAGTACCGGGAAACAAACACACCCTTTAATATTTTACATACAAGTATTTTCTTTCTTGAGTAAAACTATTTATACAAACTCCCATATAAAGAGGTCGAGTTTGTACAAACTTATGTAACACGTTACATAGCATGTCACGTGGCATTAAAAACTACATAATTTAATATCACATCAATATCATTTGAGCCCTCATGTCACATGACACTCACATGATATGTTACGTCAATTTATACAAACTCTCTTTATATAAGAGTTTGTACAAATAGTTTTACCCTTTCTTTCCCTCCTCCCTCTCTTCGACTACTTTCTCTTTCACTTAAAAACCATAACTTACCCTGCTTTTGGCGAACTATTACAAGTTTACAACCATTTCACATTCAATCAGTAACGAGAACAATCAGATATTCAGATATCAAACACAGCTACTTATAATCAACTTTTATACACAAAAGGTGTAAGCATCAAAATTCAAAAGTAAAAGAGCTGTTTATTACACAATTCACCACTGCAATAAAACAAACACTTGCAGGCAACCATCAAAGACACTTAATCACATAATCAAGATGTTGCGAAACTGTACACCAACACAAATGTTACCACCAACAACTAGGCTACATATACCCGAATGGACTGAACAAAACTATCAATCCTTTTCCTTATCTCTTCTGGATTTGCACCCACCAGCTTGTCAACTACAGCACCTCCCCTCATCAGCACAAATGTCGGCATCGCCTTTACCTCCATTTTAGATGCCACATCCTGAACACCACCAAAAAAATTACATAATAATATCTAACTTAGGAGGGAAGACAGCAAAAGATCAATTTATATGCTCTCTTTATCGTATATGATTATAATGACCCGATGAAACACGGATTCTCTATAAGTTAAAACATAAACTTAATACCCAGGAGAAGATGGTCAATAAGGAGGTTATAATCACCTTACTACTGAAACACTTATTATTGACAGACCTAGACTAATGGAAAAGAACATGTTTCGATTACCGTGCTTCAAGACCCCAAATTAGGAACTATAGTTGTTCCCTCCAGTAACTGGATATTAACTTAAAATGTGAATAAAGTCAAGTACTGAAAGTATCGTTTTCGTTTTTCATTTTCATGGTGCAATTGAAAAAGATAATAAATAACGTATCAGTTGCATATCCTCTGAAAACCATATTAGATTGGTAGCACCTGCACATTAAAAGACACAGTGATGCAAATATTGCTGTATTTACAGCCAATCAAAGTAATTGAAGAGATAAAAGAAATTTTAATGCCAATAGCATAATGTCTTGAGAATAATTTAGCAACATTTTCAGCAAAACCACAAAAGTAGCCAGAAATTATGCAACAAAACCAATATTCTGCAAGAGCATCTTGAGGCACCAAGAATTGTCAGAAAAGTACTTTGAGGAAGGAACGCTGAACTCCTAAGTCTATTTTGAACTAAGTCGTCACTTTGAAATGAAGCATACAGCATATAGACGCATGTAAAACATACAAACATAGTCAAAAAACTTCAGCCCCAATTCAATAATGGTTAGAAGATGTAACAACAGTGGATCACAAAGATGCATGCTTGCAACACATACAAACATCACAATTTTTTGCATCAACGTTCTGTACAAGTCAAGCACAAAAAACTTGAATTATACCAGTGATTTAATATACCATATGGATATACCAAGTTATAACAATCATAACACCAAAATTCCCCTCACTATTATGAGAAACAACTATAATTCTAACAAGGTCCGGAAATGGATCGCGATCCGTGTGATATCCTAGTTAGCTTATGTTATGCAATATTATCTTGGATATCAAAATATAAAATTAGTAACCGAATAATCAACATAATTCCTTAAATACCCTTAATTAATTGGTCAAATACCCAAACCGGTGACACTAAGCAACCCCCATCGAATCAGTGTAGTTGTTTGCAGAACCTAAATACCCCTCAGAAAAAGTTGGTGTCCTTATCTTCAACTATATATGTTGTTGTCATCAAGCTGGCAACCCACATCTCCATATAGAGAAAAGTCTGCTATAAGTAAACTTCAGAATTCAAATTTGCATCATGTCGAATAAAAAAGCTTATATTTACCAGTACACAACAATTATTCTGCATTTAATTTGTATTGAGTGTTAATATGTTAGATCTGCATCAACATTCAAAGGACAGTAATATCAAACACAGCAACTGAAATACAAAACAATTTGTTTATACCTTAACTTCATCAACATCAATACAGAGAAACAGAACATCAGGATTAGCTGCCGCGACTTCTTCAAAAAACGAATTCATAGCCACAGAAGGCATGCACCATGAAGCTGTAAAGTGCACAACAATCTACAACAACACCACCAAAATATCAAACAAAAGCTTCATATCAAAACCCCTTCAATTCTTAACAAAATTTCAGAAACAAAAATCATATTGAAAAAATTCCTTTCGAAAATTCTGAAAACAAAAACAGAATGAAACTTACAGGGCAGCCTTGATTGTTGGCTTGGGAAACAAACAAATCCCAAGACTCAGCTGAATCAACTTTCACAACTCTAGACTTGTTTTGTTCATCCTGTCCTTCCATATCTTTCTTCTTTTTCTTGTTGGATTCTTGGTGGGTTTGGCTGTTCTATATATATATATACAAACTTACAAAGTTTCTTTCAAGTTTACCTTGTAGAAGAAGACGTCTAGATTTAGATTAGACGAAAGACGAGTGGATATGTAATGGACCCACTACTTTTTATTTTTATTAATTTATACTTATCTGTCTGGGTATACATTTAGACATTATGTTTCAGTTTGTTAAGAATAAGAAAATAGATAATACATATACAATCTCGACTCTGCCTAATTTCTAATTATAAAATAATTCAGTTGTCCTTGTTGTTTTCACTTTAGAAATTCCTTAAAAAAATTGATAAATTAAATAAATACTAAGCACCTTTATCCTTCACGGAAATTAAAGAGTATAAAAATTCTAGATCATTCCAGCCTTCCATAAAACAGCTGGAAAATTATTCCAGCATAATTAACTGTGGGCACCCACTGAATCGTGGAAGGTCTCAGCTGCTTTCAAAAAAATATTCCTTTCAATGAAACCAAAATAGAAATACCCCTCACCAAAACAATCATATGACAAGATCACTACACACTACACAGTTTCATAAAGCAATTATCACTACCAGATTGGCTGTTATCTATATCAATTCAATAATGTCTCCAACATTTCTACTTTCAAATTGGGTTCATCACCAGATGAACTTTATCATACAACATTCAATTGTACATGTTAATAACTGCTACCAAATTTACTAAGTAACTCAAACCAGATCACATTGGTTCAAATTAATGACATCAACCCAATGCCTAACATACACTCATCACAACCGTCAACCTCCCTTGTAAATAACAGTTAATAAACTACAAATGTAGCAAACACAAATACGTTACATTCAACTGCAACTCAACCGAGAATCAGTAGCCGGTCGCAAAGCTGTTTGGCGCCGAGGAACCCCAATTTCACATGCATTCACTCTAGCAGCAAACCGCAGAGAACAAAGCGATTCACCCATTGACGAGGGATCGGGTGAAATATTAACAAACATTAAGGTTTTTGAGTCCCCACCTAGACAAGGCTGTTCATAATTCCATTATAAGTTAACAAATTTATTCTGTTTATTCAAATATCTAAGCCATTATTCAAAATGTAAATACCTGAAGAAGGTATGTCAACTTGGAGTTCCTAAATGGAACATGATCCTCCTTCCTCGCCAATGCAAATATAACATCGCTCAAAGACGATAAACTTTTATTTATAGCCTAAAGAACATTGAAAATCAAAACAAAATTAGATCAAATGCTTAGTTAGGCTTCTAAACAAATGATAAATTTAACAAGAGAAAACTTTAGATACCTGAGTCTCCTTTAACCGGTCTCCAGTAGCTCCACTTCTTGATAGTCGCTCACTTCCAGCAAGATCAATGAGGTTTAAGACACCCTGAACCTGTTGTTCAGTTGTCTAACGAAACAAGAAATATGTCAACACAAAAATATATTTAAGTGTAATAAAAACATAAATCATTATAGCATAACCAGAAATGTACCTCATTTATCCCAAATATCCTTAATGTAAATACAAAATGACTTCTGGATGAGTACTCATTCATTTGTGTCTTGCCCACAGACCTAAAATACAAACAATGAGGGATAAAGTAACTGTTTAAGAGAAGTTTCAACACTCTGCATCTCTTAGAATTTTAAATCTAACTTATTAACAAAAGTCACGCTATAACTTAACTTCTGCAACTTTATACCAGCAAAATTTAACAATTAAATCATGAAAATATAAAATGAAAAATGACATTACAGTTCAAAGACTAAATAAAAATTTGCAAGAGCATATACCTGCTCTGTGCAGCCTGCCGTAAAAGCGAGGAAATCTCTGAAATACTGCCAACATCAACAATGGTAAGGTCACTGACATGTGTGTTTCCGTTCGCATCATGTTTAATTGTGTATTGCTTTCCAGGAACACCATTGTCAACACGTGCCAAATCTAAACCATTAGTTTTGTTCACTGCCAATAGATCTCGGATAGTCTCATTGTAGATTTCCAACATTGAGGCCTATAATTTGTAAAAGATACGGTTAGCATTCAATTACTGCATGTAAACAAGATAATCTTTACTTAGGAGAGCGATTACCTGCATTTTATATTTCCAACCTTGCGCTGAAAGTGCCTGACTGGTCTGGAATATCTGTTCCAATGAACGCGGTATCAATCCTTTTTGTTCAGAAGCTTCCGGCCTACCCATCATGGTATATGTTTTACCTGAACCTGTCTGACCATAAGCAAATATGCAGACCTGCCAAAATTCAACACCAGTACTTTTAATAATTTATTTATTGACATCAAAACAAACAACAAAAAGGACCCTTCAATTTCCAAACTCATATTTAGTCTTTAAAACTAAGAAATGAAAACGAAGTTCTTGTTCATTAAAACACAACAAATGCACATGCTATATTTGTTGTTTAACCAAAGAAACTAATAACAAAACTGAACCTCCTCAGCAATGAATGAACATTTAATATTTAGAAAAATAAAGTTCTAAATTTATGTTAGATGCTTCAATCCAACCTAGGCCATGCTACTTATATTCCCAAAAAAAAAAAAGGTAAATATAACATAATTACCTTATAACCGTCGAGGGCACTCTGTACCAACTGTGATATTTCAACAAAAACATCTTGCTGAGAAGCATCATGACTAAATACTTTGTCAAATGTGAAAGGAATCTTCTGCCCTGTTGACAGTAAAATAAGCATTGATTAAGAGAAAAAATGAATACTTTAGAAGAACTCTCCTATTCAGGTTAAACTCAATTAAACTTAGAGGCAAAAGAGAAATAACACATCCATACCATTTTGTATCATGTCAATGCCCCGACCAAGACCTTCCACTGATGTAGGATAAGAAATGACTGAGGCATCTGTTCCAACACCATCTTCAGGCAGCAAAGGACGAACTCGACAGAACACCCGAATATTCCCTTTAAGTTCCTACAAGAATATATAATTCTGTATTATTTTAGCAACAAACAAATGAAATTAATGGTGGAAGAAAGTACTACCAGAATTGTGTTGTGCAATTTTTTTCTTAATTTCTCTGCTTCAATAAGTTGATATTCAGCATCTGCCAACCGGTCTTGTAGTTCATGTACAGTTCTCTTTTGTTCTTCAAATTGTGTTTGTGTTTCCGAAGCTGACATATCAGCCCTCTAATGAAAACATACAAGTTTTCTAAAGTTAACAACTTCATATATGTAATGAACTAATAATCAACTAGCAAAAAATAAATTTTGAGAGATTAGTGCACTTCCTATACACAAATATTACTAGTGTTACCTTCAGTTTTTCATTCGCAGCAGATAGCTGAAGCTCCAAAATTCGTATCTGTTCCCTCTGGGAAGAACATGTCTCCTGCAATCAAAAACCATTACATTATAAAAGTGACAACACAAAATTATGTTTTAGGTAAGAGAAAAATTTAACCAACCTCTAGGGATTTTGACTTTGTTGTCAAGCAGTCCAACTCTGTTAAAGATTTTCCAGTACTTTCTTGATACTTCACTATTTCAGCAGTTAAGGCCTGCACCTGCAGTACCTGGCGATCACGATCCTCTCTTACTTGTTGTAATTCTCCTCGAAGGCATTTGACTTCATTAATTAATGATTCTTTCTGATTTACAGCCTCATCTTGAGAAGTCTAGAACAGTGAAAACAATGAGATAAGTCCAAAAAGATTGCCAACAACCCAACCATTCAGACGAATTCCAAGACCACTTTATTTTCTCACGTATCACTTAACCAAACAATATCAATATTAATTATTTAAACTTCACTTCATATCATAAGCATCCTTGAACATATTGCATACTTCTAGAAAGTTCAGTATGCATGCTGATAAAAAATAAGTATACAGAAACTATAAAGACAGAAAAGTATCAAGGTGAACATTTCTCCTAGTTGAAACATGCAGGTAAAACTTTCAACAGGTACATTGATCCAAATCAGGCTACACTATGAGTGCACTAAAAGACTGTCAGGAACAAATTCCCTTCCTTTACACAGAAAAATTAATCATATTAGAACTTCCACAGAGTAAAACCATTAATTAATCTCTCCTATACCCCTCATTATTGCACAAATCTAGGCCCGCCATGAACAGTAAGAAATCCATATGACTCTAACATAAGAAATTCAATAAAACAATAAACCAGTTCAAGGAACTTCATAGGCTACAGAAATAAAGGAATATCACACCGTAAAATACTTACTCTGGACAAAGTCAGTTGATCTTGCAATGAATTATAGTGACCCCTCAAAGCACTTAGGTTTTCCACAATGGTCAACTTCTCCTTTTCTACTTTTTTGAGTGATTCATTGGCCGTTTCAAGATCTTTTTGCAGTTTAGCATTGTAAAGCTGTAGACTCTGGTTGTACTCCTGCAAGCGCTTGTACATATCATCAAGGGAGGAAGCCTGCAGAATTAGAATAAAGTATGCATCATATATATGTTCAGTAATAGCAGCAAAATTGAAAAGACTAAATATGAGATATGGAATACTAAATTTGTGTTACCCTCTGGTTGGCCGCTGCGATATCTTGCTGAGCTTTTTCAAGCTGCTCCGAGAGGGAAGCTTGCAACTTTTCAACAGCAACCCTAGCTTCATTTTCTCTTCTATGATTTTCAATTGCATCCTAATTATTAACCAAAATAGCAAAAATTAAATTAAAACCTTGTAAAGAATAGAAAAAGGAATACATAATAATTCAAATCTATGAATAAAGATCTTACTAGCTTTTCAGATTCTTCTTTTGCAACTCTCTCCTGTAGAGAGGCATTTTCTTTCCTCAACTCTAAAATGGTTGCATTGAACTCGGCCTCCCTATTTTTCATCTCCATTTCTGATAATCCAAAGAAAAACATACATTCAAAACTCTGTCTCAGTCTAGTAAAAAACAGCAATATGACGGTTAATACAAATTAAAAAACAAATATACCAGTATCAGAGCATTTTTTCTCCGCAGATTCAAGTTCTTTTCGAATATTTTCCTTCTCGAGGACATGATTTTCATCAACTTTCAAAAACCATCTGACACAAAGCCTGAGCCTTTTGTTGTGCTCTGTCATTTGCTCCATTTTGGCCTACCAATTCATCACAACAAAAATAAAAATAAATAAAAATAAAATCCAAAAACACAATTAAACCTACCAACAAATGGTTTTAAACAAACCTTAAGATCAAACTTTTTTGCTTTGGACTTCTCATTCAACAGGGCTTCAGCTTCTTCTTTTGTAAACTCTACATTTCCGCTCTCTGAACCCTCAGTGCTGCCCATATCACTTGCAGCTGAAACATCTTGTTTATTAACCACTGAAAACGCCTGTCGCGTGCGTCCAGTATTCGTGGGCGCCATTCTTCCGGTTCCTATTCTCCTTCTCTTATCCAACGGAATATCTCCCTCTTTTTTCTATCAAACAAATCCAAAAATAAAAAAACACTTTAAATGGAAATTTAATATAAACTGTCAATTTTGGACTCGAAATCAAATTAACCAAACAATCCATTAGAAAATTGAAATTATAATGGTAGAATTCTTACAACAGATGGACTCCGTGGAGGTCTGTTCTGGTTCCGAGACGCCATAACAGAACAAATCGATCAAAAACTCGGAATCTGAGGCTTATATGGGTTGTTGAAAATGGTGCTTCGATCAGCGCCGTTGATGTGGAGAACCCACTGTAGATAATGCAACAGAAGAAGTAAGAATATTCAAATCAGAGGAGCTTCGTTTTTTGAAAATGTTTAGAACGTTAGGGTTTGGGGTTGAAAGAGAGAATGTGGGGTTTGGTTTGGGACAAGAAGCGCGAGTAACAATTTTGAATTCATTTGAAATCAGATCTGGCGGCCCCTCTCAAAACTCAAGACGCTCCCACTCTTTTGAGCCTCATTGGATGGGGTTTCAAGCCCAAAATCTTTTAGCCCAACCAACTTGCCCAGCCCAAACATATTCATGAGCAGTTTTTTGTTTTTTTATTTTATTTAGTATGAAATTTGATTTCATAATTATCAAATATAACACTATGCCCTTAGCCTTAGGTCTTTGGTATTTAGAATAAATTCTTCTTGGACAATTTCTCTATGAGAAAACTACTTAAAAGACTCTACTTGTCAAAGACAAGTTAATATATGACATTTTTTTAATCGGTTTAGTAGATAAGAGACATTTCAATTAATTTTGTTCTATTTTTACCCATCCATAACCTTCATTCTAGCAACTTTAACATTAAAGTGATTAGTGTTAGAGTCCACATGAGTCTAGCACTAGAGTCATCAGAATTTTTTTTTTTTCTAATTATTTTCCAAATTAGAATTAGAAATTAAGTATCAAAATTTCTTTAAGCTAACAAATAAATTACCTAAATTATATTTTATTAAGAAATAAAATATAGGATTAAATCCATTAAGTACCCTGGACTTATTCAAATTTATTATCCAAATTACCCAACCACCTACCCTCCCCCTGCCATTTAATTTAATTGAGTGAAGGGCATAAAAGTCATTTCGTATAGAGCCAATGGTAGAATCGAAGAATTTGTGTTGGGAACTGAACGAAATTCGAGTCAAATTAGATTAGAAAGAAAATAAATTAATAATTTGAACCCAAACACAACATATTTTTAGCGGAAAAGAGCGAAGGGTTCCATTAGACATAAGAAATAAAGTAGAGCAACCCAAACGTCAGACCAAGCAAATGGCATCGTCTAAACAATATTTTAATAACCGGCCTGGTCAATGACCCGGTCAGGAGACCAGGTCCTAGGTTGACCAATTTAATTAGTCTAACAGATAGATCGAATCGATGACATCTTCACGTTGATATCAGCATAAATTTTTTTTCAAAATTACTGTTGTGATGCACGTTAGCATGGTTGCTGTTTCAGATGCACATTAGCACGTGTTACTACCAACCTTTTTTCCCTTTTTTTCGATTGTTTTCTCGCTTAAAATCATCCCTGTCACCACCATTGGAACCCTCATCCTCTCCTCTTCAAAACCATACCCTTTATCACATCTCATCACTTGCCAATCGTCAGCCACGACAACTACATCGAGCAACTGTCCTTTGTTGGTTTTCGACCATTTTAAGCAATGACGACCCCAACCACCACCACCCTTAGACTCATTGGCTACTCCCTTAAAAAACCTCCAAAGTTCCCAAGTCATTCCACCCACCGATCACAGGCAATCACAAGCTAGGATTTCGCCGAATCTTGGCCAAATTCTGACCATTGGAGCCCCCACNTAAATTATATTTTATTAAGAAATAAAATATAGGATTAAATCCATTAAGTACCCTGGACTTATTCAAATTTATTATCCAAATTACCCAACCACCTACCCTCCCCCTGCCATTTAATTTAATTGAGTGAAGGGCATAAAAGTCATTTCGTATAGAGCCAAAGATAGAATCGAAGAATTTGTGCTAGGAACTGAACAAAATTCGAGTCAAACTAGATTAGAAAGAAAATAAATTAATAATTTGAACCCAAACACAACATATTTTTAGCGGAAAAGAGCGAAGGGTTCCAATTAGACATAAGAAATAAAGTAGAGCAACCCAAACGTCAGACCAAGCAAATGGCATCTTCTAAACAATGTTCTAATAACCGGCCTAGTCAATGAACCGGTCCAATTTAATTAGTCTGACCAATAGATTGAACCATGACATCAGCATGTTGATATTAGCATAATTCTTTTTTCAAAATTACTGTTGTGGTGCACGTTAGCATGTTTAATGTTTCAGACGCACATTAGCACGTATTACTACCAACATTTTTTCCCCTTTTTTTGATTGTTTTCTCGCCCAAAATCACCCCTGTCACCACCATTGGAAACACCCCCCCCCCCCCCCCCCCCCCCCCCCCCCCCCCCCCCCCCCCCCCCCCCCCCCCCCCTCTTCAAAACCATACCATTCATCACATCTCATCACTTGCCAATCGTCGGCCATGATAACTGCATCGAGCAACTGTCATTTGCTAGTTTTCGACCATTTTGAGCAATGATAACCCCAACCACCACCACCCTTAGATTCACTGGCTACTCCCCTACAAAACCCCCAAAGTTCCCAAGTCATTGCACCCACTGATCACAGGCAATCAAGAGCTAGGATTTCGCCTAATCTTGGCCAAATTCTGATGATTCTGGCAACCAAAACTCAATCCAACACCACCTCTCGACTCATCGTGATCGACCCTTCAAAACCCCCTAAACCTGATTCCTGTTTGCCCAGCGAACGTTAGCCAAAAGCCACCTCTTGAGTTAACCTGGTTTTGGCAGAAAACTGATTGGACTGGTGGTTTGCTACAATAATACCGATCCAACTACAGGTCAAACCGAGTTAACTCTTATTTCCCCTTTTTTACCTTGACCGGCCCGACTTAGCCGTCGATTCCCTATTTAATCGGTTAAACCGACTAGGTCGGTTGGGTTTTAAAACACAGCTTCTAAAACTCTAAACACACAATGAAACCCATTGAAGAAGTCAAAGAATCCACTGTTGTTGTTGACACAAGCGGATAGCTCAAAAGTGGATTTCTTCAACCTTGTTGCGGTTGAGACTGTTTCAATGAAGGTACGTTGTGAAGTTAGTTTATTTACGCCATATGACTGGTTGTCATGCGCTATATATACAATTAATCTGCATAAGGGAAATTTTTATTATGCCTTAGTAATCAGTTTGTTGTGACTAGCTCCTCACATACCTTTATTAACGAGTTGCTTTAACTAATTAATATTTAGTTTCTGTTTTTAGACAATCAGTATTGAATTGAATATGTTACAAATGAAAGAAATGGTGTGAAAAGCAAGGTTTTAAAACCCGGCCTAGATCGGCTGGTTCAACCAGCTGAACCGGGAACGGGTGATCGAGTTAGGTCGGTTCGACTAAAAAACCAAAAATATTAAATGACCAAGTTTGAACCGCGATTGTACTGGATTTTTTGTTACGAATCGTCGATCCAATCAGTTCAACTAGGCGGTTGAACCGTATTTTTTATTATTTTTTATATTTCATACTGAAGTTAGAATGACGTTATCACGCTAACATCAGCATGATGACATCACGGTTCGACCGGCCAAACCCCGAGACCCGGTGACCTGACCGTGTCACTCCTTGGATCAGGTTTTAAAACCTTTGTGAAAGGTTAAAACTTGTTTATTTTTCTTTTTTTGTTTTAGGCCATATTTAATTAGTTTATGCTTAGGTTAATGGCTATCTTAATCCGATTACTTTTTGAAAATTTAAAAACAAAAAACATTTTGTTGTAACTGTGGGTTGAATGTTACTTGTTGAAGATATATTATGCAATTTTAGTTTATATCATCATTGGTTGAAAACTAAATAGTCCGTATAAAATGAAAATTTTCAAATTTTAAAGATATTGTAATATTATATATTATTGTTATGATATATGTCAATTAATGTACTATTAGCATACTAATTTCATTTTTTATTAGTAAGAGTTGGTTGGTTGAGATAAGAACACCTTAAACTTCTGGCTATAGAATATATATGAACATATAGTTATTTTGACTTATTAAATGGTTTTGGTACTTTTGTTTGTGTTTAATAACGTATTTGTAAACTTGTGGCTACTTTTTTACAGAAGGTAGAACATTGCAAACTTCCTTGGGGAGGAGAGAAATCTGGGGCTTGTTCAGGTCGACGAATTCAGCTTGATTTGTCTAATCAATGATATGTTTGTTCAGCATTCGTTCAAGAGCAATAAATACCTAAATGAGAATTTCTTTGGTCAGATGAAATGAGGCCAATTGAAACAAATCTAATTCTTTAGCTTGTGTTCAGAGAAGGATTGCTCAGATTTAACTTTCAATGTTGACTACCTTCCTTTGGATACCATGCCACTTCTAGACCAACGTCCACCACTAAAAAGAAACTTATTTAATGAAAATGAAACCTTTCCAAAATGGCAAACACCATCTTCCGAAATCCCAGTGTCACAAATTGACTAAGAAACACAAACAGAACAACAAATACCAGCCTAATACCTGTCATCTAATCATGATGAAAACCTATATTACAATTGTTGTGACTAAAAAAGTTATGTTGATATAAGCTCAACAAGTACTTAAAAGATAAAGTATACTAGCTGTCAAGCTTATACTGCCTCAGAGATATTTTATACCAACCCTATCTCATTTTAAGAGATGAACGGATGTGAGCTCTCCATGTGTCAAGGTAACTTGCAAAACACTTATTATATTGACCTCAAATGTGTATAAATAGACACCTCTCTTCATGAAAAAGAGAGGTTGGGCAGATGAGAGCTAGACAAACATTTGACCTTCATTATTTCTCTCTGTAAGCAAAGTATTTCTTCATCTTTATATGTCTTATGGACAATATCATAGAAATAGTTAGAGAATAATATAATAACAGTGGATATAGGATTTGCTATAAGTATCCGAACTACTATAAAAACATTTATTGTCTATCTATTATTTATGTTTTCTGCAAACATATATAATCTCAACTTCATATTCAAATCTCATGAATCCATCACATGTAATTTTTAAGACTCTCTTAGCACTTTACACGCATGAGTCGTTGGTGTCAAAATCAAATATCAACAACAATGAAACCCATTTGTCTCAAGTTTATAATGAATCCCAACCGCAATCATATGATAATAAAAAATAGGGGTAGGATTGACGATCCGGTCGGGCCGGAGATTTTTTAGAGGACCATCCCTAATCCCATCCTTGACATTTTTAAGGATTCCTTGCCTCATTCGGGTCGGATCCCTGTGGGGCTAGGGCAAATGCCCATCTCTAGTTTTGATTAAGAAAAGCAAATTATTTTCCCTCACTTTCTTAGTATTTTCTCTATATTTATTATTAAATTTATCTTTAATCTTGAATTAAACTAATTCATGGTTTAGATTTGGAGGTCTACCCAATAGCTAACACCTCAAATTCAAAATTAGATATTTTATCACACCTCATATGAGACTTTTTCTCTCAGAACCAGATGTACCCTATGTTTGGGTTGTTAACTTTTTTAAAATAAATAAATTATATAATATTTAGAAAAAAGAGAAAATATTTTTTTTAAATAAAAAAAAGTGCTTAACAGCTTAAAATTTAAAAATTGTAATATCTAATAATTGTAAAATTTTTATAATTTGATAAGAATGAAAAGACAAAGGAATTGATACATGGGCCAAGTTTGGCAAGTATGGGTCTAATAACGCGTGATATGGAGAGGCGAGAATCTAATCCAACTGTTGTAAAATTTTGCTGTACTTCGACTTCACCGCTTGGGCTTTTGTATTCCTTATAAACCACCGCACAAACCCTAGCCCTTCACCTTGTGTTCTCAATTCGAATCATCTCAAATCTCCTAATCTCCGTTTCATAATGGCACCTAAGAAGCCAAACCCCATGGAAGAACCACCAGCCGCTTCCTCCTCCGAAGATGAAGAGAGTTCTTCTGATGAAGTTACTTCCTCTGATGAAGAAGAAGCTGAAGAACCCACAAAACCTTCTTCCCCTCCTCAACAAACCCAGAAATCAACCCACTCTGTTGCTTCTACCCCTCAATCCAAATCCTATAGCTCTGAAGAAGATTCTGAATCTGAGTCCGACTCCGACCCGGAATCAACTCCTAAGCCTATTGCCACAAAACCCATGGAAGAAACCCCAAAAGCCGCCACCACAAAACCAAGGTCGAAAGCTCCGGCAAAACGCCCCAATGAGCCGGAGGAGTCTCTGAAGGACTCGAAACGGGCGAAGAAGAAGGAAACGCATGCGGATCCGGATCTGGATGATGAGGATCAGAAGAAGCCGGGAGAGGATATGAAGAAGCAGCTTTTTCAAAGGCTATGGAGCGAGGAGGATGAAATTGCTGTATTGAAGGGGTTGATTGACTTCACCACGAAAAAAGGGATGGACCCGTATCAGGATACGAATGCTTTTCATGATTTTATCAAGAAATTGCTTCATGTGGATGTTACAAAAACTCAAGTGATGGACAAGATTAGGAGATTGAAGAAGAAGTATGAGAACAATCTTGGCAGAGGGAAGAAAGGTGAAGATAGGACTTTTTCGAAACTCCATGAACGACAAGCTTATGATTTGTCTAAAAAGCTATGGGGCAATGAAAGCACTAGTGGTGTCCTTGAATCGGCTGCAAAGTCTAATGGAAAATCAAAAAAGAATCAAAACCAGAAAGGGAGTAGTAAGTCTCTGTTCAAAGCTGAGTTGAATGATGGAGCTAAGGAAGGGGAGAAGATGGATATTGATAATGATAAGAAAGGGAGCCTAAGCAGTGCAAAAGAGATGCTTTTGTTTGATAAGTGTGTTGGGATGGCTGGTTTGGAGGAGTTTGTAATCAACCAGGGTTTAGATATAATTGGAGGAGCCAAAAAAGCGGAATTGGAGGAAAGGTGGAAGAAGCTGCAGATTGCTCAGTTGCAGTTGTTTGTGGAGCGGAATGATTTGATTAAGGAGCAGACTAAGTTTTTTTTGGAGGCCATGAAATCATCCGGTCATTAGGTTGTTGGTTGTTTCGAGGTATAGTTTATGTTTTGTGTGGTCGTTGTTTTGAGAATAACTAATAAGCTATTAATGTTTTGTGCTTAGTGTTGGCTAATTGTGGAATCCTGTGGTATTTGTGATTATATCATTCTAGTTTAAACTTCTTATAGCCTCATAAATATGGTTAATGTTTATGATTTTTATTTGGGTTTAATCATCTGCAACTTACTCACGTTTAAGTAGTGATACCTTCTTAATGTTTTGTTGGTTCTTAGCTGATATAATTGCTTATTCCTTTATGTGTTGCTAGTGAATCTTCTTAGCAGGGCTAGCATATGCTTAATATCATCTTCTGATAGTTTTTAATCTATGTTGAGGCTATTTAATCCCCATTCGTGTAAAGTATACATATGTATTTATTGTTTTAGTTAAGTGCTCTGCAAATGCTCTAGTAAGTAATATTTGATAGATGTTTGATTTTTGTATTAGTTGTGTTGTGGAGGTACTTGCAAATTTTTGGAATTGCTTTGTTTGTCACTCTGTCATCCTTTTTCTTGTATCTCATGTCCAATTGTTCATACAGTGCTGCTGGTTCTTCTGCATGAGAAAATATGATTTCACGATTCTCATTTCACTGGTTTTTTAGTGCCTTTTTTATCATGTTAATTGAGAAATAACTTGTATACATGTTCAAGGTATTAATTAATAACCGAGAATCACAAAGGAAGAAGAACTTCAATTTACTTTTATTGTGCTTGTGTTTAGGTTAGTCATTTCTGTTCCCTGGGTGTATTAGTGGTGGTTTTCGTCCGTGCATTAGACCAAACTCATAACTTCTTAAAGCTTCTGATACCATGTTGGAAGAAGTTACATATCTTTTCCAATATCTTTATATTCATTCTAGATATTAAATAGGTCATCAACTTTGATGTTTGTTTTTGTGATTCATGCTTGTATTGTTCTTTGTATACCTAATGTTTGAAATCAATGTGGGTTGGTCAATAGGAAGGTTGGTCTAGCATGTTTGAGAGAGCCTCTAGTTGGACGAGAAGGTAAACATTTTTAGCATATTCTAGATAGAGATGCCTTGCAGTTAGACCAATATGAAATATGCAAATTAGCTTGATATAATATTCTCAGAGAAAGCAACAATTTTCTACTGTTATATTCTCACATGCCCTAGTATATTGTTTATCTCTCTTGTTATGTGTTTATGTTTCTAACACAAGCCAAATGCATCTTCCTAATGCTTTTGGAACTTGCTTTCGTTGAATACTTGAAGTTAAATGGTGATATTTGCATTGCATAAGCGGCATAGGTCTCTTCAATTTAATTGTCTGTGTTTATTTTATTTGATTCATTCTAATTGGAGTCTATAGAAGTAAATAAAGGTACCCATCTGAAAAATAAAATAATGTCTTGAGATTATTGATAATTTGGCCATGAAGTTAATACATGTAGAGTTAGAAATCTTAGAAATAATTTGGTCATTTCTAGTCTCCTTGTTGGTTGTTATTAAAATTTAATTCTTATAAATATATAAAAATGAAATTTGTAACCAGTTAAATAATAAGGATATTGATACAGTGCTAAAACCAAAAAACTACCTTCTCCTTTAATGAATTATATTTAGCATTGAAACAATGTTTTCAGACATAAATCAAATCCAACACAACGACCAAATCAGGTTTCAACAAATCATATAAGAAATTTTTAAATCTAAATATTGTTCCTCGTAAGATTCTTTTGACAATAAACAGAATATGGAAATCTGAAGGGCAAAGAAAGATGCAATAGTTTTAAGTAGGTCCTGCAGACCTTGGTTACTTATGTTCTCGAGCTGAGGCTGTAGCAGATACATAATAAGCAACTGTGAAGAGTGCATGGATGAAACACACAATGCCTCCTATGGAGAATAGGTGATGGTGTGACAATCCGCAAGATTTCCTTGGTCTCGCATTCGTCAAAGTTGCTATGATCAGCATTGAGAATGCAAGTGCTAGTGTAATCCTGATATTAAACAATCTTGCTATAATCAGCGTTGGGAATCATTTGTTTTGAGAAAGCAAGGAAACAAGACATTACATACCAGGAAAAGATGAGAGAAGCCACAGCTAATTGCTTGTTGGGAGTTGCATTATTCATATCAGCTTTAGACCAAACGCAAACGCACCCACCAAGTAAAATAGCGATAACATGTGCAAGGCTTAGAAGCACAACCGCAGCCAATCCTAGCTTGAATGCTTGGTGGCTTGATTCTCTACACTCAAAGATCAACACCCTCACATGTTTCACCTGTCCAACCAAATATTATTAAAGTTACCATTTCAATTTACAATACAAACATAAATTTCATTTAAACTTGTTACTTGCCTTGTTTTCGGCTATTTCAGCTTCAATCCCAAGAATCCCAGCTGTGACATCCAAAGCCAAGATCAATAAACAAACCAAGAAGCCCAAGTTTTTTGTCACCAACGCCATTGGTGTGGAGATGATTGTGAAGCGGGAGAAAAAACTTATAGAGAGGAGAACAGGAATAAAGTAGAAACCAAATTAACAACAAATGTGGAATGAAAAAAGCTGATTATGTCTTTATATTTTTCTTTATTCTTATTCTTTTTCTCTTTAAAGTTGGATTCCTTTCATGGGGTACAAGGAAAGTAGAGTATCAACAACATAAACAAAAATGTTGAACATCTAAGCCATAAATGACCAATCTCCATTGAACATGTCTTGTGCAATTAAAGACAATCAATATCCTAAATAAAGTTTATAAATTTTCAAGTGGTACTTAAAATTAGAGTACATAGAGAATCATCTAAGTCACATGGAAGAACCAGACAGATTGGCTAATGTTTCTATATATTAAGAATGAATTATAAGACACTCCTTTTAAATTAATTTAAATACAAAATATATATGGAATTAGATTTGATTGGACAGTCCATTAAGTGTGATGGGTCAAACATAAGTATGGACACAAATGTTAGGCCCATCAAGAGTGATAAGCCCCATTTGACAAATTATATGTTGGTAGGAATTGAGATGTAGCATTCATTTACTTATTAAATGTAGTGGTGGTCCGGTGGACATTTGGGACTGGGTTCAAAAACCCGGTCAACAGTTTTTTATTTCTCTGATGTTTTTTTTTTTTTATAAGTTTAAGCTCTGATATTCTTTACAGTAATAATGTTAGGTTCAGAATGTAAATTCATAATCTTCTCTTACATTCTTAACCTAATACTTCATAATTAATCAACTCATAAATAAGTCTTATTTACTTGTTATGGGTCTTATCTGTCTATTTGTGAACTGATCAATTATAAATTATCACATTGAAGATTATGAAAAAAAGGTTATAACTACTTATCGAAGGTTATGTGAAAAGGGTGTGGTCTGTGAGCCTAGCATTACTTTATTTACAAATGGTAGATCTAGTTCGCTCAATTTTAGCACTATTATATTAAAATTTACTATAGAAATTAAGGTAATAAAAGAATTATCATCATTAATTAACAAAAAAATCTTAATTAAATATAATCATAAATATAAGTAAATAAAAACTAAATAATAAATATCAATTATAAGTCGTATCCACGTTAAGACACATCAAGTGAGGCCATGTTAAAGTAGAAGAAAACATTTCTAGAAGCAGCTAAACATTTCTTTAGAAAACACGTAATTGAACAGAGGAGAAGACAAGATAAGAAGGAAAGGAAGGAATTGAATGAGCAATTCCTCTGATTTGTGTGTTACTTCAAAACAAAAGTTAAAATGTCGCTGTATTACCGATGGAAGAACTTCGAAGAAGAGGAAGACAGACCCGACAAACCNTATTTTTAGCTCTCAAGCATGTTTAGAGCTTCTTGGCATGAAATTTTTAGTATTTCCATACTATCATCCTCATGATTATCTCGTTCCTCTTCTTGTCTTACTCTAGTAATGATTTCTTCTATAGTTAAAACATACACGACTTATTTCTCATTTGGATGATTGAGGAAGAAATTAGTATCCATTTAACTAGTATAGTGAAGTTGTTAAATTTGATCACTCAATTTTACATTGACTCTTTCATATCCATTTTCATACTATCCTAATGCTAGTAAAACAATGAATTGAAATCTTAACACTACTAAAACATGAAAAATAAGAAATCAAAACAATAATTATTGTAACTATACCTCTATTAAATTATAACCTCTTTATAGTGATAAATTTAATTGATCCCAACATTATGACTATAGAGAGGTTCTACTATATAAGTTCTTATTTGTCATATCCATGTTAAGACACGTCAAGTAAGGCCCATGTTAAATTAGAAGAAAACATTTCTGAAAGCAGCTAAACATTTCTAGAAAACACGTCGTCATTAAACAGAGGAGAACACAAGATAATAAGGAATTGAGCGAGGAATTCCTTTGATATGTGTGTTAATGCAAAACAAAGGTTAATATGTTGCTGCATTACTGATGGAAGAACTTCGAAGAAGAGGAAGACAGAAGCTCGGAGATTCGATGTTACAGAGATGGAAACCCCCCATTACACTCTCCCCACACAAAACGTCCTTGAGGTTTTCCTTTTCTTTTTCTTTTTAATTATAATTTCCTCCAATTGAATTCATTATTTGGTACAGATTGTATAGTTAGGGAATTTATGACATGGAGTTGAAAATGGAAGATTATATGATACCAAGAAATTTTATTAATTGCAGGATATTTTTGAGTCGATGGGGCACTTTGTTGATGGGTTGAAGTTGAGATGGCCTACAAATATGATGTGTAAGTGAGGACTGGTGATTGGGCTGAACATTTGTTTCATAGTGGTCTGTCAGCTTTTCAGCCCCGACCTAGCCTCAATCCGGCCTCGACCTGGCCCTGATCATCCCTAGTCATTTGTGTTCCATGGGTGTATTAGTGGTGGTTTTGGTCCCTACATTGGACCAAACTCATAACTTCTTAAAGCTTCTGATACCATGTTGGAAGAAGCTACATATCCCTTCCAATGTCTTACTATTCATCCTAGATATTAAATAAGTCATCAACTTTGATGTTTGTTTTGTGATTCATGCTTGTATTGTGCTTTGTATACCTAATGTTCACATAGTCTCATGTCAAAATCTGTAATCAAATAAGTGATTGAGATGGCTAACAAACATGATGTGTAGGCTAAACCTTTGTTTTGTAGTGGTATGTCAGCTTTCAAACAATACGTTGAGGTACACTCTGCATTAATTAAGAATCGTTTATCCAATTGTTTTAATATTTTATTGTAATGCTAATACTTATGTGAATGTGATATTATACAGGATTGTAAGCTGGTGGGGTTCGACACGATCGAGCTTAATGTGGGATCCCTTGAAGTTCCAGAGGAAACTCTTCTGAGATATGTGCGCTTAATTAAGAGTGCAGGCCTCAAAGTCAAGCCTCAGTTTGTAGTAAAATTTAACAAGTCTAACATTCCCATTGGTCGTGATAGAGCTTTTGGGGCTTATGTTGTCCCTACACCTCGATCGAATGGTATGGTTCTAGATTTCTATAGATACGCTACAATTCATAAATCAATTTTAAATTCATCATATTATGTTATGTCCGCTTTTCTTAGGGTGATTTGTTAATCTAAAAGAAGGTAAAATTTGTCATGATGGTAGATAAACATTAGTCATGAACAAGGGACCATTTAAAATCTGGTGTCTTCATGGCCAAGCTCTAGGACATGGATTTATCAAAATATTCATGACATAATTGGATGATGTGACTAAGGATTAGCACTAAATAAAACATGACAATAGGGGTGTTAGGTGAGCCAAGCTGCTCGCGAGTAGCTTAGGCTTAGCTTGAGCTTGAGCGGCTTGCGTGTGAGTTGAGTTCAATTTGAGCTTTCCAATATTTGGCTCGAGCGGCTTGCGAGCTTAGTCAAGCTCGACAAGGGATATCTACAAGTTTTGCAAATATTAGGGGGTCTCTATAATTTACCATTTTGTTTTTACAACCCCTTCAAATTTGAGTATTGAACCTTAACACTTCTAATTCTCTCTGCGACCGCAATCCTCTCTACGATTCGCAATTTTCTAGCACCCAACTGCGACCATCGTCTTTCCAGCGTTGATCCCACTAGTTTTGTAGCCCTACCCTCCAAAACTACACAGACGGTGTGAATCGTACCACCACCGTTGTTCATGCGTTCGATCGATCATGTGCACATGGCCGTGCATTGTGTCCTTTATTAACTTCTGTTGCCACTCTTGCAGTTGCGCTGAGTGGACCATAGATGCCCAATCGTAGTGCCTGTCCTCACCAGATTTTTAGATCACTCACGTTGTTTGATTCTTGAAATTAGTTGCTAAATTAAGCTAGATAGGGCGTGCGAAGGGGATGGCTCTAGTTCAAAATCCCTACCATCATATGTAAGATAAAGAGAGAAATGTTCAATATTGCTCTCCTCTGCTTACTTTCTTTTAGTGCGCTTTGATGGTTTTGCTGCTGCATTTTGATAGCTGCATTGTGACAACTCCATATCTATCTAGTCTCAAGGGATGCATCTAATTGAATGTTTTCATAATTGAAACAGGTAATCCAGTCGAGCCTAAGCCAAGCTCGAGCCCCATATTTTGTCGAGCTCAAGCTCAAGCTTAACATTTGAAGCTTGGTTGAGCCGAGTAGGTATTGTTCAAGTGAGCCGAGGTCAAGCTATCCAATGCTTGGCTCAATACATCTTATGATGACACTTGATAAATAAATTTTCACCATAGCAATAAAATGTTATTTTATTGCCTTTTAAACCATTTGACAGATTATATGATGGTAGGAATTAGATTTAACATTGATTTACTTATTAAATGTCAACGTGCGTGTTCTATGATGTTTTTTTCTTTGTAAGTTTATGCTTGATTGTAATACCCAAGATACAAAGGTATGTTCCTAACTCAAAATAGTCCTTTAGATGTTAATTTATGTTAAAAAGCATAAAATCTAACTAAGGGCAAAAATGTCATTCATTTGGAACGGTATGAATCAATTATCCACAAAGAGGCAGGGGCAAAGGTTATTTTGCCTATGGTAAGCGTGAGAAAGTCAAGGATGAGTAGGCTTCATGCTTTAATGGCAATTAAGTAATAATTATGTCTAGTGTGAAATGACCAAAATGCCCTTATATGAAGAATTAAGGACTTATGAGTTATACAATTAAAATAATTTGGCCAATTGCATAATTTGGGAAAAGAAATGAATATTTTCTTATAAATGAGATGAATTTCGTTCAAGCCAAAGGAGAGAGCATTTCTTCAACATTTCTTCCATTTTCTCTCAATCTTCATGAAACAAGCTTTCTTTCTCTAGGTTTTCAAGGAGTTTTGCATAATTTTTCAAGGAGAACAAGATAGGAGCCTGGGATCTTCAATTTGAAGGGTTTAAGGTAAGGATTAAAAACTTTAGTTTTGATGTGATTTGAAGATTTGAAGTAGATATTGAGGTATAATGTTATATATGAAGGATAGGTGTAAAAAGTCAGGCAAGGATTTGTTGGAGAAAGTCTTTAAAAAGGTAAGGA